ACAACTAAAACCATTATTTCTTTCTGACATAGTGCATAGTTTGGACTTCTTGAAAAGCCATCAAAGAAGTTAGGTGTTGCTTCATCATTTTGAGCAATAAAGAAAATATGAATTGTCCCCATTTTACCAAAGTCAATAGTTCTTAAATTATTGCTACAAGTAAATGCATTTCCACTAAACTCAGTTATTGTTGTTTGAACAGTAACATTTTCATATTGAAGCTCAACATCAGTAGTTTCCTTATCTGATGATGGGTTATATTGTTTATCAAATGGAAGAGACTGAAGTGGTTTGAGGAAAGTAGTTTTGCCACAATTAAGATAGCCAAAGAGTACTACACTAACTTTTTGTTCTTCCATTCTTCTGTTATTTTTTGATCATTTTCAGTTTTAAATTAGAGAGAGTATAGTCTCTAGACGAAATGATGGGAGTTGATATAAATATATCTAAAGTATTAACATTCTTTCTTAATTTTGTCGTAGAATAAATCCTATCTAATTCAAATCAAAATATTGACATTTTCGAATAAATAAATACACTAATAATAGACTATGATTGTACAAAAATAATGATTATTCCAAATTATATGAAGAATTTCTAATTTTATATAACTTAAATGATTGTAGTTTCTATATTTAATTAATAAATTAAAAAAATGCAAAAAATATCGGAAGTCGCAGAGTTATCCTCATTCAATTATATGACGCACACCATTTCCCTTCTGCTGGAATACTCCAATTATCCATTGGAATAAAGTCAAGTGTAGCCTTAACGCTATCATCGAATGCAGCAAATGCTTCATAAGGAGTAATTAAAACTTGTCTAAAATCTTCTCCCCAATCAATACTCAATCTTGGACATGCAACTTGGACCCAAACCTTAACCTCTTTATAACTGTCTAATATTGCAGTTGATATTTCATCAGCATAAGTAACTACTGGTATTTTATTATTCTTTTCTAATAAATTAATAATATTATCGGTAACTTTTTGATTTCCTTGACGACCAAGAGTACTAGTAATAACACCAATATATTTTTCTTTTCTTGCGGTATCAATTTTAGTTCTATATTATTAGTTCGATCTTTCATTTTTTTTTAATAAATTATACAAACTTCATTATTTGTTTAAATTTTTCTTTATTAACAAAAACAGGAACAAGTGTTTGATTTCTTGGGTCATATGAATAAACTTTATTATCTGGATAATTATATGCAACAGCCTCGGCATGGAAAAGTCCTCCTCCAATAAAAACAACACTCATTTCTCTTTGTTCTAATGGAGGAACTGTACATCCTAAAGTAATACCTTCTGGTAATGGATCAATTTTAGGAAGAATAACATTGAATTGAGTTAATGATTGTTTTAATTGTTGTAGATATGGTTCATATTGAATTGTTGCAACAATTGCAAGGTCTAATTTTTTATCCAATTGTTTATTAATATTATTTATTAATGGTTCAAGAAGAATATCAGCTACAACAGGTATATACATACTTGCAACTTTTAAGCAATGAGGAGGAACTAACAGAATTAAATTATATTCCAAAAAGTAATATATTTAAAAAGAAAGAACCCTACTAACAAACTTAATGGTGAATGACCAAAATGAACAAGAAAGTCTGAGTGAATATAAGCTGTAAATCTATCATCAACACAACATGCTCCATAAACATAGTCGGTGTATAATATAAATTCAACATTTGGTAATTGTTGTTCTAATCTTTGTTGAAGACCAACACCTTGAGAAATAAGACCTTCAGGGAATTGAAGTACAACCCTCTTACAATTTCTCGAAGTAACTTCTTTAATAATTTCACTCTCCTTTAAATCAAATTGCATTGATTAAGAATTACTAGTTTTTCATGAAGAAGTTTAAGAAGCTAAATTCTTTTAATAAGGTAGTTTTGATTTGGTTAGTCAAAAATAAGGAAAAAGAATAAAAACTTAATCAACTAAATTAAATTCTTATTATTTTTGTTGAGCTTTCATTGATTTAATCAATCGTTCTTGAGCATCATTAACTTTTTGAGCCAAAGAAGCATCCATTGGTTCAAGTTTTTTAATATCATTTTCTAAATTGTCACGCTTTTCTTTAATATCTTTTTTTAATGTTTCATAATCAGATAACACAAAAGCTTTACCTAATGATACATAAATTTCTTTTGGTTGAACTTGTAATTCATCAATAACATTCTCTATTCGATAAAGTTCTTTTTGCATCGTCATCATTCGTGAATGAACATTATTATATTGTCTTACAGATGATTGATACTCTTCCATTTCCTATTATATTTAATAGTTTTATAGTTTGAACGCTTATTACTATTTTTTATTATTATTTTTCTATAATTTTACTATTTTCATTTTTATATTTTAGTTCTTTTCTTTGTATTATTTGTTATTGCTTTAAACAATAATAATGTCTTAGTTCATAAGAATGAATGTGAACACGTCATTGTTAGTAATGCAAAGTTAATCAAATATAGAAAAAGAAATGGGAACAAAAAGAATTAATTGCCATTAAAAAGAAATCAATTGTGGACAAATGTTTGATTATCTCAAAACAGAAGTTGATGGAAAGTCTAAAAAGGGTTTTGTTGTATGACTCTTAAACTCTAAAAGAAAGAAAAAAATCAAATTATGTCAGATACTATTCTTGCTAATGTAGCTGCTAAAACTAAATCACTTGAAGAACAACAGTTATATGTTTGTTAAAGAAGTTAAAATAACATAAAAAAATAACTAATAAGAATAGGCATATACTAATTTTATTAATTATATTATAAATGAAGAACCATTTGTACATAATATTCTCAAAGACCTTAAAGATGGTTTAGTTTTAATTCGTTTATTAAGAAATCTTAGTGGATGTGATATTCCTAATTCAGTTGAAAATCCATTAAAAGATATTGAGAAAATTCAAAATTTAAGTGCTGTTATTCAATTTGCTAAAGACGATGGAATTAAGATCTTAAGTTCTGCTGAAGAAATATTAGCAGGAGATAGAAAAGGAATACTTTCATTTATGTATCAAATCTTAAATAAATACAGACTTGGAAGTTTGTTGTTTTTATTAATTCTTTATTAATAAAGAAAAATAGAAATTAATATTTAAGATTGTCCTGTTAAAATGGCTCACTTTGCAAAATGGATTAAATCGAGTTTAAAAATTAATAATGCTGATTTTGATTTAAAGAAAGAATTATCAGAAGGTGTTTTATTAGCAAAACTACTCAATTACTTACAAAAAGATATTATTGATTTAAAAAGTTTGGGTTCAAATCACTTAGAAAACATTCAAAAATGTATTGATATTGGATACACTAAATTGAGAGTTCCTAAATTAGTTAAAGCTGAGAATATTGTTGAAAATACGGTTGATGATTATTGTTTATATTTCTATTTAACATTCTTTATTATGAAAGAAACTCATTTTGAAGATAATGAAATGTTAAAAAAGATTGCACAAGGACTTAGAGAAAGAAAAGTTCGTGCTCGTAATCAACTTAAAAATAGGTTAGAAAGAGTCTTAAAGAAGATGATTGACCAAGCTAAAAATGCAGAAAAAATGTATCAAAGTCCTGATAACACTGAAACCCCAGAAGAAGCTAAAACTCTGATTGGAATGATTTCGCAACTTGAGATAATGTATACAAATTTCGAAAAGACTGCATTACCAAAAGGATATATAGAAACAAATTGTGATCTTACAAATGATCCAATGTTAAAAGAACTTAAAGAATGGGAAAGTAAAATCAATATAACTCAAGAGATTGTGAGAAAATTAATTAGTCTTATGAACCAAAAGAAAAGAATGAATGTTTTAACTCCAAGAAGGGTTGATCCTTCAAAAGAAGAAGTTAAAATAAATTCAACTTCTGAAACAGGTCATTTAGAAAAACAGTCTAATAATCCAAAACAAGAAGTTGATGATACAAAAAAAGTTATATCCAAAAACGAAACTGAGTCTAGTCTTGAAAAAACCCAACAAGAAAGTCAAAAAGAAGCAGAACAAAATAAAAAAATTGAAGAACTTCAAAACTTATTAGCTGAAAAAGAACAAGAAATTCAAAAAATAAAAATTGACTTTACTAATGAAAATAACTTACATAACGTAGAAAAGAAAGAAAAGGAAGATGAGATTTTAACTTTGAAAAAGAATCTTGAAGAAATAAAAAAATCTTATGAAGAAGAAAGAGAGTCTAATGACAAACAAAATAAACTTCAAAAAGAAGAAATACAATCTCTTAAAAGAGAGATTTTTATTCTTGGAGAATCAAAAGGAGATGAAGTGAAGAAAATGAAAGAGTTAATGGAAGAAAAAAATGAAGAAATAACAAGGCTTAGAAACCAATGTGATGTAGAGATTCAATCATTAAAAACAGAAATTGAAACATTAAAGAAAGAGTCAGAGACAAAAGAATTGGAAAAGAAAACTAAAGATGAAGAGGTATTAAAATTAAAACAAGAGTTAAATACCCTTAGAGAGTCATTAGAAATTGAAAGACAACAAAAAGAATTAACTGAAAAAGAAAGAAATGAAAGTCTTTCAACTTTCAAGAAATTAATTGAAGAAAAAGACACTAAACTTATGGAAAATGAACAAACCATCAATCAGTTAGAAGACCTTATCTTAAACATTAAAAAAGAATATGCTGAGTTGGTAATGAAGTTTAATGATAGAGAGATGGTTTGTGTTGAAAATGAAACTGATAAAAGGGTATTATTTAATTCATTGGCATTATCAATTAAAATGGTACTTCCAACAACGTCGAAGTTTGATAACACAATGTTATATAATGAATGCACGAATCAAAAAGTTCCAATAAAGAATTGGAATATTTGGTTGGTTAATAGATTAACTAAAAAGTAAATAAAAAAAAAATGAATTGAAATTCTTTTTTTGAAGAAGTTTTATGATATTAAAAAAAACTAAAAAAATGTTTATTTAAATTTTATTTAAATCTTTTTTATTTTTAGTTGATTATTCTTTTTAATATGAATACTAATGTCATAATATCTCCATCTCAACATCAATTGGCTAAAGGAGTTTGTGTTGTCATTGATGTTTTAAGAGCCTCATCAGTTGAGGCACATTTATTTTTGTGTAATGCTCAAAAAATTATTCCACAAAGTGACATTGAGACAAGTTTACAAACTAAAAAAGATCATCCAGAAGTTTTATTGATAGGAGAAAGACAGGGAATTAAATATGATGGTTTTGATTTTGGTAATTCACCAACAGAATTAATGTTTGTTAAATAAAATAATTAATGTAATCAATTCATTGTGACTTATCATACAGAAATAATAAAGAAAAAATAAGAAATAAAATTTGTATTCATAACACTCAACAAGGAACTCAATCACTGGTTGTTTGTAGAAATAATCCACAAGTTACCAGAGTGTTTATGTGTAGCATTAATAATTGTCAAGCAACAATTGAATATTTAAAAGCACTCCATCCTCCTTTTGTAACGTTTGTAGCTTCTGGAAATGAAATAACATGTAGAGAAGATTTGTTATATGGTCGTTATTTAGAAGCGTTATATCTAGGAAAACAACCAGAAATGACTTTAGAAGAAATGATAGAAGATATAAAACATTCTTCAGGAAGTAAATTCTTTAAAGGATTACCTCAATTCCCTGAGGCTGACTTTTATGAGTGTTACAAACTTAATTCAATCAATGTAGTTATGGAGTATGTGAATGGAGAAATACGTCAAGTAAATTAAGATGGAATTTAAAACAAAAAGAAATAATTAAATTTTTTTATTCAATTTTATTAAAAACATTTAGATTTATTATTGGTAACTATTCAAACTTTCACTGTTTTGAAGAATCAAAATAATAAAATTATCATTACTTTAATTTATTAAGTACCATTGAACAAAATTCGATCAATTCATTAGTCTTTATCAAATAAAGAAAGAAAAAGAAATTAAAAATGTTGTGTTTTAAGTTAAAACTGAACTACAAAAAGTATTATTTTAATGTTTGGAAGAAAATCTTTTGGATTTTCATTTTTTTCTAAGAATAAACGTTTGTTATAAATTGTTAAGAAAGAATATTTATACATGAAAAAGTAATAGTAATTGATAGCAAGAGTATTTGGTGTTGATATCAATAAAATTAGTTTGAGTATGATCATTGATGATGTTCCATTGTTTTTAACTGATGCAGGACAATTTATAATGGGAAGTTTGCTTAGTTTGTCTCTATAATGAAAGGAAATAATTACTAGTATAGATATTGTTGAAGGAATATTTCGAATACCTGGAGAACGTCAATTAGCTGATAATATGAAGAAAACTATTGAAAGAAAAGGTGATTTTTTATCATTAATCAAACATCCTTTAAGTGATGTTCATGCAGTTGCAAGTGTTATATTAATGTTCTTAAGAGAATTACCAGAACCATTGATTACATTCGAATCTTATGACCTCTTTATTGACTGTGCAAAAACATATGAAATAGATCAATACACAAAATCTAGTGCTCTTAGTATGGCTATTAATACATTTCATGCAATAGTTAAAACATTACCATCAAGAAATTTAAAAATACTTGCGTTCTATATGAACTTATTTTATGTTTTTACCATTAACAGTGATGTACATAAAATGCAAGCAAATAATGTTGCTATTTGTATTGCTCCAACGTTACTTCGTTCACAAAAAGAGTCATGGGAAAGTGCAATATCATCTATTAAATATCAATCCATAGTATGTACATTCTTAATTAAATATTACCCACTTATTTTTCGTGATACATGCAATACTGAAGGGTTGTTGTATCCTCAATATCAAAACGTTTCAAATAATGACAAGAATAAATTACTAAATCAAATGACAAAAACTGTTCATTTATCAACTCCAGAAAAGCCAAAAAGAAAAGCTAGAAAATCTATTTGGGAAGATTTTCGTAGAGATTTAAAAACAAAAGATAAAGAAGTAGAAAAAAAACATATGAGAAATCGTGAAATGAAAAAAACACAATTTACACCTTCTACTCTAAAACTAGTTAGTGCTGATGATAAAGAAAAAGAAGAAATTAAAGAAGAAATTAAAAAGAAAAGACCAAAGAGTGAAAGTATGGCTTTAGCTCTTATGTTTATTGACAATAATGATAATACTATGTTACTTCCTCAACTTGACCAACAAGATATTCTTAAACAATCAAAACCTACTATAACTAAAGGTCATGGAAAATTAAAAATTAAAAATTTTAAATTTCATATAAAGAAAGATAATGAACAGTAAGTATAGAATTTCATTTGAAAATAATTTATTTACTTTTTTAATAGATTAAATCTCAAATTAAAATACATCAAAGTAAATAATAAAATAATAATAACAATAATTATTACTATAATAATAAAATATAAAATATAAAATTATAAAATTATAAAAAATAACTAAAAAATACAATTTAAACAAAATGCAAATTGAACAAATTTTTAATGAAATATGGAAAGAAACTCCATTAGAAAAAACAAATGTTCATGTTGTTGTTGGATATACTTTAGAAGCAATGAGACTTATGAACCAACAATGTGATGAATATACAGTCTTAGAATTAATGAAAAAAAAACCTCATGATGAAGATAACATTTTAATCAAACCAAATGAAAATACCAGTTTTTATACTAAACTCCCAACAAAAAAGTTTATTGACTTTAATTCAATAGAATTCACTGTTCATAAAACAACAAGTGAAATTTTTGAAGAGATAAAAAGAAAACAACAACCACAAGAAACAAATTTTGTTTTTAATTCTTTTAACACTTCATCTTCAACTATTGGTCTCTTTAACCAACCTAAAACAAACACATTACAAAATTTGTTAGAATCATTTAACAAAGAAAAATTAAAAGCTTCAATGAAACAAGAAGCAAATTCAATTGTTCAATCACAACAAAATATTCCAATCATTCAACCAAAAAGAGTTCTTTCACAACCAAATTTTAAAGACTCTATACAAACCAGTCCTGAAGAAATTAAAATAATTTCTCAACCAATTGTTGATAAAAAACCAATAACCACTAGTGACTTAAATCAACATTCACCCATTATTCTAACTCCTGATGTTCCAACGGTATCAAATAAAAAAAATACCAAAATTATTGGAACTTGCCAAAAATATGAAAAATCATATGTAAGATTAGTTGAAAATACTGACCCAACATTAATCAGACCTCTTAATATATTAGAAAAGTCTTTTGAGTTTGTAAAATCAAAATATGAAACTAATCATGACTATAATTATATTTCAGATCAATTAAAATCTATTAGACAAGATATGGTAGTTCAAGGTTTAAATTGTCAATTCACTAGAGAAGTTTATCAATATGATATTCAAATAGAACTTGAAAATCAAAACTTAACTGAATTTATTGTATGTATTAGTAAATTATTAGAATTAGATGAATGTATTCACGTTAAAGATGATCTTCATTTTGAATGTGTTTCTATTTTATTACTTGATTTACATAAATTTATTCAAAAGAAAACAACTATTGGACTATATAATAAGATTTATGAATTTATTGATGACATTAAAAAATCTTCATTAGTTCAATTTGTAATTGAACTTTTAAAATACTTTGAAAATGGTGAAGTTATTGAAATTTCATCATTATTAGAAAACACTAAAATCCCTTCTTTACTTTCTCATTATATACAATTGTATTTCTTACCTGCTGTTCGTTCATTAGTTATAGATGAAATTAGACGCTCTTTTAGAGGAAAATGGCCTATCTCATATATTAAAAAAATATTAGTATTTTCTACAGATGAAGAATGTGCAAATTATTTAAAATCACCAGAATGTAGTTGTTACTCAGATCTACAATTAAGTAGTGATAATTCAGTTATTGAATTATTAAATCCAAAATAAAAAACAAAGTAAAATGTGATTGACTTGATTAAATGACTTTTTAGGTTATTAAATGTTAAAAAGAATTTTCTTGTTCATAAGAATTTTAATAGAAGAATCTATTCAATAAAGAATAATCTATATAATAACTTATTACCATTTTATTTAAAAATAATATTTTAATTAGTAATTTTATTATTAAAATATAAAATAAAAAGAAAAGTTATTACCATTATGAACAAAATAATTATAAGAAAAACGTATTGAAAGAATCGTATAGAATTCTAATAAAATCTAAAAGTACTAAATTTAAAGAAAATATATATTACCATGACAAATGGACTAAAAAAATATATAATAATTTATAATTTTAATTATTTTGTCGATATTTATTGAATATTTAATAAGACTTAGAACTTATAATTTTTTATGTTCGCTCTCTTTTTGTGTATTGCTTTAGCTTCTGCTAAATTAGGTATTGATGTCTCTCAACCAACATCTACATCATCATTCACTTGCCTTAGAAATAAAGGATTTACTACTATGGTTATTGTTAGAGCTTGGAAATCAACTGGTTCATTTGATACTAACGCTCCACAAACTCTTAAGAATGCCAATGCTGCTGGATTTTCAATTGAAAATTCTGATGTTTATTATTATCCATGTATTTCATGTGGTAATATGGCTGGACAAGTTAGAACTTTCTGGCAAAAAGTTGGTCAATATAGTTTGAAAGTAAAAAGAGTTTGGTTTGATATTGAAGGTACTTGGACTTCATCCGTTTCTACTAACCAAAATTATTTAATGCAAATGATGAATGAAGCTAGAGCTATTGGTATTGTCCATGGTATTTATGGTTCTAAATATTATTGGGGAAATCTCTTTGGATCATCTTACAAATATGCTTATGCATCATCTACTCCATTATGGTATCCACATTATGATAACTCTCCATCATTCTCTGATTTCTCATCATTCGGTGGATGGACTAGCCCATCTATGAAACAATATAGAGGAGATGTTTCTGTTTGTTCAGCTGGAGTTGATTATAACTACAAACCATAAACCTTTAATCTAACCATTTTATTAACCTCTTTTGTTTAGTAACGTTATCTTAATATTTTTTTTTTATAAAATAAATATCTTTTTTTGAGAAATATGTTATTTAAATAGGTTTTTTTTTTTTATTTAAAAGTTACTTTTTTTGGACAGAAATTTTTATAACTCATTTTTTGTTCATATTGGACGTCTTTATCCATTTTTGTATTATTTTGTCATTTTATTAGTTGCTAGTATCTTTTGTTTTTTCATAAGAAGTTATTAAAAAAAATTAAAATAACGTTAATACCATTATTTTGGATATACTTAATTAGTTTTGACTTTCATTCTTTTCAACTACTCGTTTTATTAACAGAGTAAAAAACAATTGATAAATTGTATTGTTTTAGAAAAAAGAAGTAAACATTATAATAGTTAATTATTAATAAATAAATAAATAAAAACTAAAGGATTGATCCTCGTGATAGTTTTTTTGTAAATAAGGAAAAATAATCAGAAACTAAGGAAAAGATTGGATTTTGTTGATCTTAAAATTTAAAGCTTTTTCTGTGATGCAACCAACAACAGAATCACCAAATAAAGTTGTTAACATAATACAACACAAAAAGAAAAAATTTGTTCGGCCTAAATTAATTAAATCCGAGTCTGTAGCAAGTTGCAAACCTGCTGAAGGAGAGTTGTTTGTTTTAAATGTTTATTTTATTGAACAAGCTGTTATTTAAAGTTTTTGATTTTGTATATTTGAATTAAAAAATATTAACCTAATAGTTTGAAAACACACCAACAATACACACCAGCTAATGTTGGAGAACGAACTATTCACACACATTTTTCTATTGAAACACGACCATTACAAAAGAATATGTTATTTGGAGATGACGGAAAGATTAATATTGGATTATTAAGAAATCATTTTTTTAGAGAAGGGAGGTTATCTATTGACTGTGCTTTAGAACTTGTTAGAAAAGCAAAAAAATTATTATTGGAAGAAGAAAATATGATTACTATTGAAGCACCAGTTATTGTGTGTGGAGATATTCATGGACAATTTTATGATTTGCTTACAATTTTTGATATTACTAAACCTATTGAAAATAATAAGTACGTGTTCCTTGGAGATTATGTTGATAGAGGGGATTTTGGATGTGAGGTTTTATTTTTTTTGATGGCTCATAAAATTAATTACCCAAAACAATTTTTCTTTTTAAGAGGAAATCATGAAAGTAAAATGATGACAGAAAGTATGACTTTTAATTTAGAGTGTGAATACAAATATCACAGTATTGAATTATTAAATGAAATACATGAATTATTTGATGCTCTACCATTAGCTGCTTTAGTAGAAGGAAATTCTCTTGGAAGGTTTTTCTGTACTCATGGCGGTATTAGTCCATTTCTCACTAGGTTATCACAGTATAATGAAATTAAAAGAGTACAAGAACCTCCATCAAGAGGACCAATGTGTGATATTTTATGGTCTGATCCTTTGGAAGAACCACAACACCCAGAAACAATGGAAAAAAGAAGATTGGACGCATGGCTTGCTACTGATTTTGCAGACAACCATTTGAGACAAACCTCTGTATTATATGGACCACGTGGGTTACTTAATTTTCTTGAAAAAAATGATCTTATTTGTGTTGTTCGTGCACACCAAGTAATGGAGGATGGATTTAAATTACATTATTTCTTACAAAACACTGATATACCACCGTGTATTACAGTTTTTTCAGCGCCTAATTATTGTGATATGTATCAAAATAAAGCATCTATATTAAAGATTAATTTAGAAAATATTTGTTTTGAGCAATTTGAGTATGTTGATCATCCATTTAATTTCCCTGATTTCTTTGATTGTTTCAGCTATTCATTACCAACAATGATGGAAATGCTTGTGAATATATTATCTGAGCTTGTGGTTGCAGTTAAAGAAGAAGATGAGTCTATGCTCACACCAGAAGAACGAAAGTCAGATGAAGAATTAAAGAAGAAATTAGAATTATATAAACAAAAAACAACCGATAAAATGAAAGAAAAGGCTGATGTTTTAAGGTTGAAAAAAGAAATTAAAACAACTCAAAAACGTTTGTTTTTTTTAATTATCATTTAAATATTAATAAAATTAAAAACTTATATTAAATAGTGAATAAAGAGTGGTTTGATAAAGTATTAAGAATTGACTCTAAGAATGAAATGAGACCTAAGCGTTTAACAAGAAAATTAACTTCAAGACCTGCAAACATGAGAACTGTTTCAGATACTAATATTCTTCATTAACTTTTTACTTTTAAATTTGTGTTTTGTTAATTATTAAAAATAAATAAAAACGATAAAAAAGTTAATACCTTAAACTAGTTTGGATTTTTATAAATACATTTATAACCAATGCAAATACTTACCACCACAACAACAATACCTGTCACAACAATTAAAGGATTAACAAATGATTTACTATCATTCTGTTTCAAAATGAGTTGAACATCCTCGAGAATTTGTATTTTTTCAGATAACTCAGCAAATAGCTTGTTTATTTTATCTTCAACACTTCCTTTTCCATTAAGTCTTTCATTTAATGCACGCGTAATAATATCTTTGAATGTGTTTTTGTTTTTCTCAAAAATAACTAATTGATTAACCCATGTTGATTTTTGTTCTTCATTAATAATTTCAACACTTGTTTCTAATTTCTTGATTAAACCCTTCTTTTTTTTTTCAATTGCCTCTTTCTCTTTCTCAAGACTATTTTGATTTTGTTTAATTTGACTTTCTTTTTTTTCTAATTCTTCTTTTGTTTGGTTTATTTGTTTCTCTTTGTCATTAACTTGTTTTTCTTTATCATTAACTTGTACCTCCTTCTCATTAACTTGTTTTTCTTTATCATTGACTTGTACCTCCTTCTCTTTGACTTGTTTTTCTTTATCATTGACTTTTTGTAATTTAGTTTTATGCGTAGTTTCACGGATACTATCATTTATGATGGAATTATCGATAAGTATTTTTTGAGTTTTTTTGATAGTTTGCATTAACATGTTTTTGTCTTCAAGATAATGTTTCTTCAGTTCATCAACTTTGTTGCTAAGAGGCACTGTTTTGTCTGGTCTTTCTTTGACTAAATAACAGTCACCGATTTCGTTATACCCCCAATGTTCCTTTTCCTTTGTTTTTAAAAGATATTTGTCTGTATTAAGCATTTCCATAAGAACAGAAAACTTTCTTCCACTTGGATGAGTGAAAAATTCACAACCTTTGATGTTGATATATAAGTCATCACCTTCTCTCCAACAGTATTTGTGTGGGAAGATTCGAATAGTAAATGTATAGTCTCCAACCTTCACTTGTTCATTGTCTTTGACTCCTGTGTGAATAGGAACATGTAACTCTTCCGTTACCAATCCATGATTTAATTGAATACGTTTTTTCGTACCTAAAAAACTTTCTTCTAAAGGAATCCAAATAGTAAATGTGTTTATTTCTTTTTCCATTTCATCAATAATCTTTAAGGCAGTGTTTATTTCATTCTGAAGTGTCTTTGTGGTAGTTTGTTCTTTAGCAAGTTCAGATGTAATTGTTGTATTGACTGTTTTCATTTGATTTAATTCAGCATTAACATTTTGAATTTCTTTATCTTTTTGATTAATAATTTCTTGTTGTGCTTTTTCATTAGTTTTTGACACTTCAATTAATTGTTTATTTTTTTCTTTAATATCTTCATTTTCTTTTTTAAGTTTTTCTCCTGCTTCTTTCATCACAACAAACTCCTGTTCTTTTTTGGATAAATGTGTTTGAAGAGTTTCGATTTGACTTAATAATTTCTTTTCTTTTGTTTCATTGTTTGTAATTTTTTGTTTTAATTTATTTATTTCACTTTTCTCATCCTTTAATTCAATACTAAGTTTATAGTCAATATTTTCCTTTTCTTGTTTTAATTGATTAATCTTTTGTGTTAATACTTCTTTTACTTCTTTTATTTCTTTTTCTTTTTGTAATTCAATAGCTTTTATTTCTTTTTTATGAACTTCTTCCTCTTCCTTTCTTTTCAATTCCATTTCTTCAATTTTTCTTTTCAATGGTTGAATCTCATTTCTCATCTCATTTCCTTTTCTCTTTTGTAACTCTTCATTTTCTCTTTTTAGTTGTTTAATTTCAGTCTGTGAATTTTTTTCTGTTTCTTCTTTAACTGCATTTAGTAATTTTTTAAATGATCGAGTTAATTCTGCTTTTGCCATTTCTTTGGCATCCTCTTTTTTCTTAATTTCTGCTTCTAACTTCTTACTTATTTCTCTATTTGTCTGTTTTAACTCTTCTATTTCTTTATTGAACTTTTTTTCTGTTTCTTCTTTAGTCTTTTGAATTTTAACAACTTGACATTTTAACTCATCAACTCCTTCTATTTTCTTTTTCTTTTCAACTTTTAATTGTGCTTCTAATGTTTCATTCATGTCTTTCAATTTAAGAAGATTCAACTTTTCATTTTCTAGCTCTTCTTTTAATTTCATCATTTCATCAATTGCTAAATTTCTTTCATCATCAGCTTGTTGTTTCTCTTCTTTTAGTTTATTCATTTTGTCTTCAAGTGACTTCTTTTCAATTTCAATTTCTTCAACTTGTCTTTTATGGATGTTGGCTTCACTTTCTTTTTTCAGATATTGTTCTTGATAATACTTCTTCTCCCTATCAACACTTTCTCTCATAACAGAAATTGCACTTTTTAAGTTGTTATTTTCTTTTTTAATCTCATCTCTAGTTTGTATTGTTTTGTCAAGTAATCCTCTGCATTGATTTTGAATATCTTGTATTTTTGTGTCATAAAGTTTCATCATCTCAATTTCTAGCTTTTTAACTTCTTCAATATTACTAATATTTTCATTCAACTCTTTAAATTTAAGTATAAATGGGGAATTTTTATATTCCTTTAAATCCATGGTATTTCTATCAATAAGTCAGTCTTATATTCACATAACAATTAGATTTAATACAAACTCTCCTGACATTGTATTTATGGAATTTATAAGTAAACACCTTTTTACACATCATTGCCACTTGTCTTATCATTTTATTAATAACTCTTTTATTATAAAAAGTGATTTAAACATCATTTTTCATCTTCCTTCTTAAATTTTTTGAAATTCCATATAACAGAAAAATTTTAATAACATTTCAACTAATTTTCCATAGAAATTCTAATTGTTTTAATTGTAAAATTTCAATCACACTTTTCTCTTCAACATATCTTTCGCTTGTTAATGAATTAAATGAAAATCTTTGACGTTTTCCTTCCCATAATTTAATAAACTTATTTTCTCCAATCTTTTGATTTTCTTTAGTAATCATTCTCTCAAATTTAATTATTGATTTTTGTGTTCCTTCAACTATAATCAATCCTTTGTAATCAGTGTATAAGATAACTCCTTTCATAAAAAGTTCTTTGCTTTTGTGACGACATTTGTTAATCATCTTTTCATCAATTGATGTAAATTTAAATCCTACCATAAAAATTCCTTGACTCTCAATGATTTTATCGTTTTTTTCTTTCTTTATTCTTTTCTTTTCACTTGGTGTTTTCATTCTTTCATGATTTTCTCGTTCATGCTCTTGTCTTCTAAGTTCCATTTCTTTTCTTGCCATTTCTTCTACTCCACTTGGATTAGTCACAATTTCTTCTGGATAAAGTTTTGCCCATGTTTGATATT